AAAAGTTTTTTAATGTAATATATTTATGTTGTGTATAATTTACATAGTTTTATTTTTTATATTTCATAAGTTTCATCCAATATTTATTATATTAAAAATTTATACTAAAAACACATTTACAATAATTAATTATTTTTTAATCTTAAAACACCTTTTAATGAGTATGTGCAATGGAGTGTCAATTTAGTGTCAAATTATGTAGAGTGTCTTTACTTAAATTTATATTAAATTTAATCTTAAAAAAATTGTTGAGACACACATTCATGTGTGTCTATCGTGGATGGTCTAAGGCTCTTATATATGTATTTCTTTGTAGAATTTTAGACAAAATTGTTTTCTTTTTTGTTTTTGTTTTTGTGTGAGTTAATTTACTTGCAGATCAAAAGAAACTAAGAGCACGAAACTAAAACGTCGACAATGTTCTACGTACGGCACTGGAATCAGAATTACAAGCATTGCTGATTGCATCACAACAGGTATGGAGCAGAGGTTATCGCAATGTTATATTTGAAGGAGACAACAAAATGATCCAAAAGCTTCTTGAAGATAAAGCTAAAAACTTCCGACTGCATAATTGGACGAGAAATCAAAGTGTGGAGTTCAAAGTTTCAGTCCAGTTGATTTCAATGGACATCACGTAATAATAACAAAGTAACTGATCGTTTGTCCAAAGAACTGTTTCCTCCAAATTGTTCATTTGTATTGATGCATTATGTACCTTCTTTCGTTGTATCGATCCTCCATGAGGATTAGAACTCTTCCTTTTAATATAGTGATTGATGATGTTAAAAAAAAACACGAAACTAAAAAATAAGATTTATTGTAGTGTAGTAATAAATATTAAAGTAAGAGAGTTTTTTTAGATTTTCATCCCAAGTTCAAAACCACTTCTACGCTAAAATAAGAGTTTATTTTTCTTTAGTAAGTTTTATTATTCTTTTACTGACATATTAACAATTATTTAAAATTAAATTATAACTATTGTTAAAATTTATATGTAGAATTTTTTTAAAAAAATTTGCCTCGGGTCCCCAAAAATTATAACTAGGCAGTCCTGAATCCACTGTTGAGGCTACGTACTAAGGGAGAGATGTAAACCTCCAAACATACACTATCACTAAAAGTGTTGAAATGTTGAATAATAAAGAATACAGTAGTAGATATTTTTATCGAATCCAACGTCTATAAAACTTGGAAAAAAAAACTAGCAAAAATTCGGTTGGTGTTTTGACATCGGCCCCAAAAATAAATCATGAATCAAGATTGTACTATTCATTCATCTTGTTAAACTTTTCATTTATAATAAGAAACCGAGAGTTCAATGCATGATCAGGACATATTGTTTAGCAAAAACAAAGATCAAGACATATAATCTAGTGATTAATAGTAATGATGTTGTTCTATTGAATTCAAAC